TGGCCTGGAGGGAGGGAGGGAGGCTTTTTCGGGAAGATCGAGAGCAGCACGTTTCAGCCCCATGGTCCAGGGCTATGCCGGCCACTTCACAGCCCGCAGCAGACGCAGCACTGGAACGTTTGTTCCCAGACCAGGTCTCCTGCCTCCTGCTACTGTTTTCAACTTCAGACGACCTGTGATTATACAGCCAATTCCGGATGTCGCTGTCCTTCAAAATAATACTCCTAATAACGAACATTCATACTGAGATTTCCCACTTTTGAAGTATTTTAGCGAAACTCAATGATAATCTCATTTAATCAATTTAAATAATACAGATACTTGTGGTGTGCAGATTTTGCTAGAGTTGAAGGACACTCAGAGTCACTTTGGTTTAATTTAGGGGTACGGACGGCAACGAGATGGGATACACCCTTAAGTGTGCCCAAGATGTATCTTATGTGAAAATAACAACGTCATGCCCTGGCCGGTAGCCCAGCTGGTCAGAGCAGCATCCCGGCACAGCGAGGTCGCAGGTCTGGTTGTCGGCCAGGGCACACGCACGGACAAACCAATGAACGCGCATGTGAGTGGAACAACAAGTACATCAATCACTAAAAATAACACAGTGGGGATTAAAGCTGCTTAAAATACGATGGACTGCGACTGGTCCGTTATCTGAAACCCTGAGACACACTCACTTGACCCTTGCCTTTGAATTAGTGATCGTCTTACTGTTCTGTCAGGGAAGGTGACGGACAAGCAGGGCCCTGGGACGTGTCTGTGGAAGACGCCGCTAGTGCTGGGGGAAGAGGAGCAAGGCGGGCCCTGCTGGCCCCCCGGGCCGGCCCGGCTGACCCCTGCCACTCCTCCAGGGACAGAGGGGTGGCCTGCATGGCGGTTCTGCCCACGCTATGTAACAGTCACTTTCCTGGGTTAAGGTAACGTCCTAACTGTTTCAATGACACAAAATCAAAATCACAGAGAACTGGGGTTTCTGCTGTAAGAACTGACTAAAGTTGAACCTGTTTCTTAAATGCGAAGATCACATTGCTGGACGTTACGACCCGGGCTCCCTCTCCACCCTTCGGTGTCGGGCAGTCCGGGAGAAACAGCTCTGCAGTAACACGGCGCGTCCTCCCCTGGCCTCCGCCTCCCCCCCTGAACTGCCCTGCCACTGCTCGGGGATGGTGTAGCTGTGCTCCCAGCAAAGGTGACACAGACCCGGCCTGGTGGGGGGGTGGGGGGCTGGGAACACAGGAGGTGCCGGGTCTGGCAATCTTTCCCCCTGTCGCTGGGATGTGTTCCAGTTGGCTTAACTTAGGTGAAGATGCTGCCAGACCACGCCAGATTTTCCAGGAATGAGAAAAACCTTAAAGTTAATCTTGGGTAATTAAGCCTCTGTGATTTTATTTTGCAGGTTAATTATTCCTGCAACACAGGGCAGAACCTGATTTACAGAGGCCGTGTGGCAGATGAGTAACCTGGCTAACAGAAAACAGTAAAAAAATACTAGAAAAAAGCAAAAGGATTCTTTTAAAATGTATCAAATAGCCACTTTGTTTAAAAGAATACTCACAAGCAAAAAAACCTAAGTTTTGATCTCAGAAGCACACCAAATTGAACTTTCGTGTTTTATACATCAGGTGGGCACCAAATCAGATGAACTTGAACTGAGTTCTGAAGTCACCAGGAGACAAAGCTCCAGGTCTGCTGAGTGGGCAGTGTAAGGGGGTCTGCACCAAGGGAAGCGAGTCTCAGCGTGCAGATGAACGTAAAAGCGCTCCCGCTGGACCACAGCACTCCTCTGCTGGGAAGCAGGAGCCAGCCTCCCCCGAGCCTCTGTCAGCAGACCTCAGACTCCCAGCGCAATTACCTTCAGAATGCACACTGCCTAAAACGGTCCAACAAAGTCTCAGACGAGATGTCTTAAGTTACTGATGCCTACAGATAACTGGGCTAGGAGTCCACTGGACATTACGCTTTGACTCACTTTTAACTCACACTTCAAATAATTCCTACAGGTATTATTCCTACAGGCAGCCCTGGCTGGTGTGGCTCAGTGGACTGAGCACCAGCGTCGATTCCCAGTCAGGGCACAGGCCTGGGTTGCAGGCCAGGTCCTTAGTACGGGGCGTGTGAGAGGCAACCAGACGCTGATGTTTCTCTTTCTCCCTCCCTTCCCCTCTGTCTAAAATAAATAAATAAAACCTTTTACAAAGGGAAAAAAACCCCAAATAATTCCTACAGGTAAAGTTCTCAGAAATGAGGTCATGGCCAATAATCACAAAACATAGAAGGAATCGAGATTACAAAATATAAAAGCAGAAGTGAACATAAAATCTGACTTATAATGACTGCAGTTGTCGAAATTATGGTAAACGATAAAATAAGCATGGCTATTGTGTTTTCACAAAGAGCCTTGAAAATGTGAGCAACGGGCCAGCATGCTGGAAAGGAGGGTAACGGGCCAGCGCTCTGGAAAGGAGGGTAACGGGCCAGCGCGCTGGAAAGGAGGGTAACGGGCCAGCATGCTGGAAAGGAGGGTAACGGGCCAGCGCGCTGGAAAGGAGGGTAACGGGCCAGCGCTCTGGAAAGGAGGGTAACGGGCCAGCGTGCTGGAAAGGAGGGTAACGGGCCAGCGCGCTGGAAAGGAGGGTAACGGGCCAGCGTGCTGGAAAGGAGGGTAACGGGCCAGCGCGCTGGAAAGGAGGGTAACGGGCCAGCGCGCTGGAAAGGAGGGTAACGGGCCAGCGTGCTGGAAAGGAGGGTAACGGGCCAGCGTGCTGGAAAGGAGGGTAACGGGCCAGCGTGCTGGAAAGGAGGGTAACGGGCCAGGGCGCTGGAAAGGAGGGTAACGGGCCAGCGCTCTGGAAAGGAGGGTAACGGGCCAGCGCGCTGGAAAGGAGGGTAACGGGCCAGCATGCTGGAAAGAAGAGCTGCGGAAGGAATGAACAGCTGGACGGGCGGGTGTAGCAGCCGAACAGACGACACGGAAATGGGACACGACAGCGATGGTGAATTTCAGAATCTAGCCAGGGACCTCGGGACCCGGAAAAATGAAAGCAGAGTTTTGGGATGCGTATGGTACGACCAGCAGCTCTTCCATCTGTCCCGCCGGAGCTGCAGGAGAAGAGGCAGGAATGAGAGGGCGCGGGCAAGGTCGGAAGGCAGGTCTTCCGAACTGGTGACAGACAGCAACCTGCGGGCTGGGGGCTCTGGTGACTCCCCACAGGGACAGGACAGGAAGTCCCCAGTCATTCACGCCACAGTGGAGGTACAGGGCACCAAAAACAATGACGAGATCTTGAGAGCTGAGGCCATTTTTGAGATGTCAACTTTTCTATCACTTCACCTCCCAATTCTGCTTCTCAAAGATTACGGCCATGCACCAGTGGCCAACACTAGCAACGCGCTCGTCTACAGAGACAGGTCCTGGTGGGCTCGTTAGCGATCGTGTCGTCGGTTAATACGATACAACAAAGGAAGCTCAACGCACCACGGTGGCTGCAAACTTCAGAAACTGTGGGGAAGTGACAGGTGTGTAACAAATAACTAGCAATCTGAGAAGTATGCCTGAGCAAGCCACACTGCTAAATGAGGTCTTTTAGTGACTTCCCACAACCTCTGGCAAACAGTTCACACTTCACAGTGCAGAACTCGAGGCTCCTCGCAGCTGGCATGCAGCCCAGTTCCGAGCCGTGTCTCCCGCACTTCTCCATTCTGCTGTAGGTCCTGCAACGGGTCCTGAACCCCTCCCTCTCTCTGGTGGCCCCTCTGGCTTGAATCACCTTGCCATCATCTCCCAGAGCACATAAAGATTCTGCTACAGTGTAAGCTCAAGAGAATGCATGTTCCACAAAACTAAATGGTACTATTTGTCCATCTGGCTGCTGTATTCCTGGAGAGGTGCCTCGCATACAGCAAGTGCTCAATAAACGTTTGTCCAATAGATCGAGTGAATAAAAGGTGGGTGCCTCTGTGGAGCCTTTCCTTACCACGCCTGCGACCAAATTACACAGTCTCTCATCTTCTGCAGCGGTGTTGGAACCCTGCTTTATATTTAAGTTTTACAAATGCCTGCTTCACTGAACATGCGCTGGAGAGCAGAGATCCTACCTCACTGTGTTTTCTAAATCCTCAACTGCCTGGTGGCGCAGCGGGGAGGGGGCAGACGCACTGGCACTACTGTTGACTACACAAATGGACAGAACACCTTCCACACCTCAGAGGAAGTGTTCCAGAAAGCAACAGCGCCAGACAGTGCAGAGAACCAGAAAAAAATGCAAACGTGGCTGAACAATAGTGAGCACGCATCTCACACACTACATTAACCAAGTAACAAATTTTAGGTAGTGAGTACAGATGGAGTAGAAGCAGGAGCATGAGTAGGACATTGCGATGACAGGCAGAAAGGAAAAACCGTCCACTGTCTTGAAAAGATGTTACCAACTTATTTTTCCAAGTGAAATGCACCAATCAACCTTATAAAACTTTACTTAATAAGAAGTCTGCTCTAAGCACTACATTATCGGAAAATCTCTGCAATATTTATCATTGGAAATGAGTATCATTAGAAATCTTTTCAGAAGCAGTGAAATTAATAAGCAGGCAACCTAAGAACAGTGAAAGTTAAAGATTTTAAGTGCTTAAAAAATCAAACCCAGTTTCCCATTATAATTACAACACTGAAAATATATGAAAATTCCACTCTAAAAACTTGCCAAGCTTTGTACTGCCTCTATTGAGATTTTTCTCATATTCTGATGCTCAAAAAGCAAAACTGCTGAATTTAATTCTTAGTCAATTTAATTAAGAGTTACGGAGGTTTTTCATAGGTCCAGTAAAATGAACACACTGAGGCTTCTCCTCCACCTTTTCCTGCTCAGTGTATGAAGGACTGAAGCTGCACACAGACAGGGTCCACTCCACCAGCGGTGGATGTTCCCCCCTCGCCCACTCAAAGGTTACGAGTTTAGTGGCACAAACTGCTGCTGACAGTGTGCTCATTCCTCACTTACTGGGTGGAGCAGGTAGATGAGAGACTCCTCCTGGATGATGACGACGGGCAAAGGGGTGATGCGCGTGGCCTGGAACAAGGTGCTCACGGACGCCATGATCTGGTCGAAACGCCCGGCAAGTCCTCCCAAGGTCACGATCACGTCCACCTGCGCAATGCAGAGTACAACAGGGAGTCACACATGGACAGGGTTTGACACAGCAGAACTGCATCGAACACCTACGGAGGGCTTTTCATTTTACGTTTTTATGGGATAAGCCAGGAAGAAACGGTAGACATCATTTCTGTTGTTTGGATGAAAAATAAAGTTACCATATTTTGCCATGTATAATGAGCACTTTTTTTGCCCAAAATTTTGAGGGAAAAATAAGGATGCGCATCACACACGGGTATAATGATTACATACCAGGGGTGTGGTAATCCCGTGTATACTGTGCACAAAAAGGTGGCTGTGCGTTATACACAGCAAATTGCGGTAACGTGTTCAAGGTTACATACAGTTGGTAAGTGGCAGAGTCAGATTTCAAGAGCAACTCTTTCAGTACACATTTTACGTTTTTCCCACCTGCCTGTTCACCTGGCAAACCGAGGACTCTCCCTTTAACACTCTGTTCTGGGTCCCTCCCACTTGGGAGCGTCCTGATGTCACCACTGGTGCCTCTCCTGTGCACGGCCAGAGCCCCCCTGGGGCACAGCTTTCGTGACACCCAGGTGGCCACACTGAGCCCGTTCACAGGTGCGTCGCCCACTAGGACACACGTACCATGAGGACCTGTGCTCTCAGCTGAACCTAGTCAGTTGCCCAAACTCTCTGTACCTCATGTTCATGTTCACAGGTAAATACTGGGTCACAGTGGACAATTAATAGGGTTGTTGAGGGGATTAAATGAAGTTATTGCATGAGTTCATAAGTATAAAACATTTAGTGCATGTTCTATAACACTGTGATTGTTTTTAAAAGTTAGCTACTCTCCCATTACCTTTATTGTTTGGGATATTATTGCATTTACATTACTATTAATGTTTTGGTTGTTACAGGTAGGTTCGTATGCTACTTTGTTCACTTAACACTTTAAAGAGGGCAGTTCCTATGACTATAGCATAATGAACCTGTGTCCCTGTTGCTGGAAATACTTTCCAGAATATTTATATGCAGAATCACTGGGTACGCAGGGTCACGGGGAAGCTGAAGGGGTGAGTGACAGTCTCCTCCTGCACACGGTCCTGTGTGCGGCACCGCGTGGAGGGTACTGCGGCCGGGCCCTGCCTCCTGGCCCGGCCCCGCTGGCCCTGCCACCAGGCAGCCTCGCCTCGCCACGCCAGGTCTCATCAGAGAGCCGAGGAACAGGAAGGACTGAGGAGCTTAATGGAAATGTCCTCAGGAAATCTCCTGTCTGACCAAAGCAAAAAGTAAAGTAACAATCACTCTATCTGGAATAAAAGAGAAACTGCTTAAAAACAGGAGTATTTAGTTTTTAGGTTTTAAAATAGCTCATTAAAAAAGCTTAGCTGATGTCTCCTGCATAAAGACGGTGTGATTTTGGAAGAAGAACACTGTCCACGCACCGATGCAGCCTGTCCGGCTCCCGGAGAACCGGGCGTGATGGACGCTCCGGGCAAAGGCAGTGCCTGCGCTGCCCGGCCCCAGCCCTGGTCCTCCGCACAGTGCCCCGCCTCGCAAGACACGCCCGCGCCTGTGTTTGATGAATGGCTAAGTGAAAACACTGTGTGAACAGACTAGGAAAGGAAGAGACTGACTGCCATTCGACGGGAATACAGAAATCAGAATGGGGCTCCATAAACCACAAGAAGTGAAATACACAGGAGCCTTGAAAAGTTTTAATGAGTTTCCTATTTTTGGTCTTTTCAGAGAGTATGGAGAATGGGTTTTTTTTCTCCTTTTTGGATTAGATCCTTCATGTCAAAGCTTAGAGTATTTTAAGACAGGCACCCCACACATCTCTAAGACTTAATACTATCTTTGGAGATCTTTCTGGAACTCTTAAGAATTAGCTCAGGGGCGAGCAAAGGCCACGCACCCTAGCAGCCACGTATTATTCTGGATATGCATTGCCCTGAAGACTTGGGCACCAGTTACTCTTTGGAGGAAAGGGGGAACGTGCAAGCGGCTGGCTCAGACTTGCCAAAGAGACAGCTTTTGTTGGGGGAATGAAGGCAGTTGTGTCCAGGAGGCACTTATTAATAATAAAGGCACTGCCAACCGGTGGCAAAAGCCCAGAAGTCATACAGAACCTCAGAAATAAAGAGAGTTTGCTTTGACCCAAAGAGAAAGACATTAAAAGAAATTACACATGAACTATGATGTGGAGAAAGCTCTCGGGCTCCAGTAAAAAGCACGCAACCCTAAAATCACCCTGGAAGCAAGGCCTGATGCTAAAGTGGTTGATGCACTAGGCAGATTCTAGAATCCCTGTTTTAGGTGCTCAGTTTTTCATCACCACACTCTGAGCTGTGAGCAAGCGCATAACCTTCAGGCTGAAATTTAATCCCCCCCTTCTACACTGGGTATCATGATGAATAAGCAGGGTCTGCAAAGCGGCCGGTGAATTTCTCAGAACAGAGCAGCAGCAAGATTGCTTCTCATCACTATTCATTTTCCCTACAGGAAGTATTTAGCAAGACTGATTAAAAACATTAGGGGAGCCATGGATGCAAGCTGCGGGTGGGTGGCGGAGCAGGCAGCCCGGGGCCTGCTGTGAGGAGGACACGGGATCATCGCAGCGACAGGAGGAGGACACGGACACCACCCTGTGCATCGCGTGGGCTTTTTCCATGTCTAGATTTGTGTCCTTAGGACAGTGATGTTGCGGGCCAGGGGCCTTCTCCATGTGGGTCCAAAGCCTGAGCGCTCACCTCTAACATCACCCAGTGCCCTGCAGACGCTTACAGCTCAGCGTTTTCCTGATGCTTCCGCATCCCACACACAGGCTGCGGGCGGCCCAGGAGACCAGGCACCAGCCTGGCACAGGCTCCCCGTCTCGCCCCCCAGGGACTAACCAATGGAGTCCTTTCACCACGTTGGCTGTGCACCCCACCACGGGCCCTGGCTCTCTCCCCCTGCTCCCTGGGTGCTCCTCCCACCTGGGCCCAGCAGGGCACCACCCGTCTCTCTCCCTGGCCCCTGTGAGACAGACCCTTTCCTTTCCCGCCTCGGTGGCGCTGCTCCGTGTCTGCCCGTGCCCGCATCACGCACACCATCCACAGCCCTCGAGTTAAGTGACCTAGTTACTACCAGCACATCGCAGCCACTCGTTGCTGTAACAACTGACATACTCCCATGTCCTCCTTTGAGAGCAGGCCTGCGGGCTGCAGACGCCAGCTGCGGTGTTCGTGGCACACCGACAACACGCCTGTGCCGAGCTTCCCGAGCGTATAAAAACTCGGCAAAACCGAATAAAGAACCGCCGAGCAGGAAGCTAATTACCAGGCTGAGTTAACATCATCTAATTCCAACAGAAGGGTACTTGCCTGCTTGGCAAGAGTTCCAATAGTGAGCGGCATCTGAGAATAACTTACGTCACCTTTGTTACTACCCCAGTAATATTTATGGATCACTTACCATGTGTTACATTCTATTCTACATATACAGTCAGGATAGACAAAAACGAAGACAAAAATGCCAACCTTCCTAAAGTTGACATTCAAATGGAGAAAAATACACAACTGATCAAAATAAAACACAATCACATTAGTTAGAATGTGAAAAGGTAATAAGTGGAAGAGAGAATAAGAGAGTAGGAAGAGAAAATAAAAAACAGCCCAGGTGCAGTGGGGGCGTGCAGGAACAGCAGAGGGCCATCGGGACACTTCCCCTCTCCCCGAGCCCACTGCAGAAAAAGCGGTGGGGGAAGAAGCGGAACAGACGGAGCACGGCACTGCCCTGTCCGCAGGGGAAGCCCAGCTTCTGCTGGAGTCGGGGGCAGCCCACGGCGGATTTCAGTGAGGGAGGCTCGGGGAGGGAATTCAGGGACCGCGGGCCATGAACTTCAGAGGGCGCTCACAGGCAGGTCTGTGTGTCGCCGAGTGGGCCCACCCTTCTCTGAAGATCAAAGGCTGGTCACAGAGGCCAAGTGACATTTTCTGTGGCTTGTGACGCACTGAGGATCCAAGGTTTGTGGTTCAGAAAAGGGCTGTTCCAATCCCAGCAGCCCCGTGAGTGAGACCTGGTGAACAACGTGAACGTGCGCACTCGGCCCTCAAAGCCCCCAGCACGTGGTCATCGTGCTGGACCGCAGCCCACGGAATCCAAGGAATGAGTGCTAATGGTTTCTACACCCGCTCCGCAGGCGAGTCGTGGCACTGTCCCTGCACCTTTCTGCTGTTGTTACCAAAGGGGGGGATGGGGGCCACTGTGGGCCTTTCACACGTGTCGCCACACGGGATTGATGACATGCAGGCCTGACCGTGGAGTGGCACACGTGCCCTCTGACAGCCACGGGACCCCGAGCCAGCTACACGGCCTCCCTGGGCCTCTGACCATCTCTAAAGGTGGGGCGTCCACCCAACGCATCAACGCATTTCCAAGGCTCTTTCATTTCGAATGGACCGTGTACAGTTCTCTGGTTCCCGCCCTGACACCTCACGTAGCAACTGTGTCTATTTGTTTGGAAAACAAATGGACAGCTTGGCTCTGTGTCATTTCTCCTAACAGAACAGCGACGAGACTGGCCGGGGGACACGGAACCCCAAAAGGAGGAGCACCTCCCTTTCTGAACCGCAGCAGTGCAAGCCGGTCCGTGAACAAATGCGGTGCTTCGGTGCCGGCGCCCTCAGGGAGGACGTGCACACAGCACGGACGAAGCCACAGGGGCCACGCCGGCGGCAGCTGTTAATTACATTTACTTTGCCTGCGTCGAATTCTGGAGACACACAAACGGACCGTTTCTCCGTGGTTCTCCCCGGGAGACGGTGTGGCCACACCATTTGACACACACACTGAGTTACTCGGGAATGAAGTGGGGACGCTGGGCATGACGCCACCGAGAGCACAGGTGTGAACTGGGACCGCCCCAGGTAAACTACGGCACACGGGTCGCCCTTCCGTGTGGTAATTACGACTAACCTTCACACAGCCAACCTGACAAAACCGCACACGGGAGTCTCAAAAACTTGGGACATTATTCCTAA